ACGTTACGCTAATATGAAGAACATATTGTGTAACATTTCGGTCGATCATCCAATCAGATTTAAAGCCCGCTATGCTAAAAGAATTATATTATTATGCATTAACAATACTCACGAAACTTAATACTATAGAAAAAAGAAAAGAAAATAATATTAAATTTGTTCCGCCGCTCGATAAGCGTATTTATAAAGAGCGAATTGATGAATATATGAAATTTGCAAAAGATTATGAAGTAAAATTTGCACAGGTCATAAAAGATAATGAACAAAAAGCAGAAACGCTATATGCATTATTAATGGATAGTAGTGATAAGGCTAAAATGTATGAACATTTAAATGAAAAAAGAAAAACTCGTTATAATTCAGCATGTGATTTAATGAAAAAAATCGAAAATGAACTTCAAGTATGTATTCATATTTATAGAAATGATTAATTACCAAAAATAATCAAGTATTAATATTTATTTTATTTTAATAATAGAGAAAACGAGAAAATGTTAAAAGTGCTTTTAATGAACTTGAAAAAGGAATTGAGAATTGGAAAGAAGAACAAAAAATTGAAGCGCAAAAACAATTGATTATCGCTGCTGTAGATTTATCTTTAAGTGTTGCCAAAATTGTTGTACAACCTGGTGGCATGATCAGTTTTGTCGAAACTATAAAAAAAGTGATCAATTCAGTTCAGGAAGCTTTAACTAATGTCGATATAGAGAAAATTGAAGAGTTGTATAAGGTAACTACCGATGCTGATGTGAAAGAAAATTTTGACAAACTTAAGGATTTAGAAAATCAAGTTAATAAAATTCAAGAAATTGATAAAAAACTGAAAAGTGATATCGATAATGCTAATAAACTAGATAGTAATACGAAGGAAGAGCGTGGAATAATAGAGAGTTTAGATATTAATAGTCTTGCAAAAAGGTATGTCAAATTGTCTAAATGCACTAAATTGGCGATTATGATAAATATAATTCACTATCATCCCTATTAGGCTTGAAGATAATGATCAAAAAGGAATCTTGTTAAGCACCGAATGGGAATTAACTAGGCGCCGAATGATGAAATTGCTTGAATTTGTAAATATGTTTATTATATTTCCTCTATAAATTAATTAAATTATAACAATTGCGATTACTGATTTAAAATATTTCTTTATTACTAGCCAATCAAGCAAAATATTGAAGGTGCTGAAAAATATTTAATCTCATTAGAGAATTTTTTTATATTTATTGATGCATATATTAAAGCCAAGAGCGAAGAAATCGAAAGTTCTGATGAATATTTACGAACTAGTTTGCAAGCAAAAATGTCAAAAGGAAAAAAAGAACGAGTTGAACGAATGATTGAAAAACACAAATCAAAAAGTTATGATGAGATTAAATTCCAATTAATAGAACATCTTACAATATTAAATTTTGGATGATGATATACATGGAAGATTATCTTTGTGCCTACGAATATTGGTCACTTTCAAAGTCAGACATAAAACCTTCAGTCATTAAAACATTTCAAGAACTGGAAGAAGATATGAATAAAATTAGAGATGAATTAGAGAGAGCATATGAACAATTTGGATGTAGTCGTAATCCTAATTGGTCTTTAATTAAATTTGATGATGAAAAATATATTGAAGAATTTAAAAATAATCGATCTATTATAATAGAAATTCCATTGAATTGTGAGAAATTGTTGAATTATTCTCATATAAACCTTCACGCTCTTAGAGTATACTTAGAAGGGGTTGGATCGGAAAATGAGATAATCAGCCTCTATATTAGTAATACAGGCACCTTGGCGAACAGAGATAAAGCAAATCAAGATCACCATTTTAGGTCTGAACCTATTCCAACTAATGAATTTAAATACAGAGTAAGTTCATCCTTAAATCCATCTGTAAAATACGATAAGTCCGAAGATTATATAGATCATGATAACAAATATAATAATGATGAAAAGATTTATTTTGTCCCAACTCCATTTTGTCAGTGGAACATTAGTCTTCATACTAAAAATGACTTGTTTGGATTGAAATCAAATTATCATTCATTTAGTAACATATTGTCATTTGATAGATTGAAATACTATATAAGTTACATGTCAAAGAAATCTATATTTTACAATCTCGCGATTAAAAACAGTTCGTACTAGTGAGATTTTTACAAGGGATTAAACAGTTAGTTACATTATTAGTTACATTACGTTCGGGTATAGTTCGGTGTAATAAATAATGTACACATTTTTAGAGAAACATTAATAAAGTAAAAACCTTTTCCCTCTGTAGTTAAAGTCAATTTATACCCAAATTAAACTATTTGACTCGATACGTAAAAAATTATTTTATCTCGTAATCACGCAATTTAATTTATTTATCCTTCGTACACGTCACTCTCGAAATAACGTAGTAAGTATTGTGTAGTTTTCAAAAAAGTGAACCTGCGCTATATGGATCTGCTCGCACATACCATACCGATCAGCTGTACACTCATTCGAATTGCCAAAAGTCAACGCAGGGATAATGTGCCCTGTGAAAATTGCAACAGGAACAGGATCAATCCCGCATAATCAAGGTTGCGGGGGTATAATTCTAAGTGACAGTAATTCTATCTTCATAATGCAGCTGCAATACTACACCCACCATTGCCAATTCAGCTCAATTCGAGACCAATCACTCTCACCTGACATTTTTATATATAACTACTGAATAAGAATATCACATGTTCATGCTGACTAGGGTTGGGGGCACGGGAAAATTTTCGGGCATGTCCCATGGGCATGCCTCTGGTTTTGATTTAGAGGCATGCCCTATAGGCATGCCCCAAAAATTTTTTACGTGACAATTTTTTACATATATAAATTTTTTGAAAAAGGGCATGCCCAGGAGGCATGCCAGAAAGGCATGCCTCGTGCCTCGTGCCCCGTGCCCCCAACCCTAATGCTGACAGCCGGCCTACATTATTGTTATGCTTAGGGTTCTGCAAATGCCCATGCCAGGCATTTTTATAGGCATGGGCACCAAATACCAGGCATTTTATGGGCATAGGCACAAATGCCAGGCAAAAAGGTGCCAAAAGATGCCAAAAAGATGCCAAAAAGGTGCTAGGCACAAGTGCCAGGCAAGGTGCCAGGCACAATTTATTAATAAATATTAAATTTTTTGTGTCCATTCCTATGCCCATGCCAAGTTTTTGTGCCCATTCCTATGCCCATGCCAAGTTTTTGTACCCATGCCATGCCTATGCCTAAATTTTTGTGCCTGTGCCATGCTTATGCCCAAATTTTTGTATACCCATGCCTATACCCATGCCTAAGTTTTAGTGCCCTTGGCAGTGCCAAGGCTTTTGTTGGGCACAGGCATGCTGCCGGGCTGCAGATCTCTAGTAGAGTTCTGCAAATGCCCATGCCAGGCATATTGGCACTATGCCAGGCACTAGTGCTTTATGTCATGCCCATGCCTATAGGCACAAAAGTGCTAGGAATTATTATAGGCATGGGCACAAATGCCAGGCATTTTTATAGGCATGGGCACAAATGCCAGATATTTTTATAGGTATGGGCACAAATGCCAGGTATTTTAATAAGCATAGGCACAAATGTCAGGCAAAAAAGTGCCAAAAGATGCCATAAAGATGCCAAAAAGGTGCCAGGCACAAGTGCCAGGCAAGGTGCTGGGTACAATTTATTAATAAATATTAAATTTTTTGTACCTGTGCCATGCCCATGCCTAAATTTTTGTGCCTGTGCCATGCCTATGCCTAAATTTTTGTGCCTGTGCCATGCCCATGCCCAAATTTTGTGTA